TGTGTGTGTGTGTGTGTGTGTGTGTGTGTGTGTGTGTGTGTGTGTGTATTTTTCAAGATTATTAATTTTTTACAAAACTTCATATTTCTTTTGATTTTTAATTAATTCCTGTTCTTATAATTAATAATAATTTATTAATAAATTATTTTGTATTAGTTAAAAGATATAATTTTAGTATTATTATTAGAATCAATCTTTTATATGTCATAGTTAATTATACCCATATACATTATCCAAATCCTTTACCTTTGTATAAACATTTTTTTTAAATTTTTTAAATTTTAAATTTTTAAAAATTATTTCTTATTTCGTCATTGTCTACTAATTTTGTTATACTGTCTACAATGCTTTTGTTTTAAAATTTTTAAATAACTCATTAAATGTTCAAATATTTTGTAATGTTTTCTTGGCTGTTTTAATTTCCATGAGTATTAAATATATTGTATATTATTGTAAAAATAAATTTATTTTATTTCTAGGAAAACATGTTTTCATTTGATGTAGAGAAAGAAACTTATGCTTTAAAACCAATGAATTGCCCTGGACATTGGTATTTGAATTTAACAATTAAGATTTAAATAGAAGTGTATTTAATTTAACATAATAATGTTTACTTATTTGCAGTTTAATATTTGATCATCGCAATAGATCCTGGAGAGAATTGCCACTTAGATTGGCCGATTTTGGTGTCCTTCACCGTAATGAATTATCTGGTGCATTAACAGGATTAACACGTGTTCGACGTTTTCAACAAGATGATGCTCATATATTTTGTACTACAGATCAGGTATAATAAAAACTTAAAATAAAGTAATGTTGTAATACTCAATAATTTTATAATTTACTTAGATTGGTGAAGAAATGATGAATGCATTAGATTTCTTACGTCATGTATATACAGTATTCGGATTTACATTCCATTTGCGTTTATCTACTAGACCTGAAAAGTATTTAGGTGAATTAGAAATGTGGGAACACGCTGAAAAGGTAAATTAATTTGGATTTATTAACGATATTATAATGTGTATTTCAAAATTTACAATGAGAGAATTGATTTTGATTTCCTAAGACACTATAACGTATGTACATAAAAATGTAAAGTGCATTTAGCTTAAATATATGAAAATAAACTTGTCATATATGTACTATATTTTCAAAATATTAAAGATATAGTAGACTAGGATAGTATTTTTATAGTTTTAATTGTCTACATGCAAATCAGCTTTATAAGTATAATTTAATATTAATAAAATGTTTACCAAAAACCTACTGAAAATTCTTAAAAAAAATTTTATTTTAATTCTGAATTTGTAAAACCTTTACATACCACCAAAATGTATAATACATATTGTATATGTATATGTATATGCTATTGTCTATTAGTAAATCACTGTATTGATGACTAAGCATTTAAATTAATTTTACATCTTATATATATATATATATAAAGTTTTTATTCAATTTTTTCAGCAATTAGCTAATAGTTTGGACGCATTTGGTGAACCTTGGGTATTAAACCCAGGAGATGGTGCATTCTATGGGCCGAAAATTGACATAACTATTTCTGATGCACTAAAACGACAACATCAGTGCGCTACTATACAATTGGATTTTCAACTTCCCATAAGATTTAATTTAAACTATATTGGGTAATATATTTTAAAATACATCTATATACTAATAATTAATCTCCTTTTTTTTCTTAATAATTTTAGTGAATCAGGAGAAAAGATACGTCCAGTAATTATACATCGTGCTATATTTGGCTCGGTAGAAAGAATGATTGCTATTTTAACTGAATCCTTTGCTGGTAAATGGCCATTTTGGTTGTCCCCTAGACAAGTTGTTGTAATTCCTGTTGGTCCTCAATTTGATGAATATTCTGAGAAAGTATGTTTTAGTTAATTAACTAACGATTTATTTGTATTAACAATTTTATCAAACAGGTCAAAAAAGAAATATATGATGCTGGTTTTATGTGTGATGTTGATGTTGATCATGGTGATACATTAAATAAAAAAATTCGTAATGCACAATTGGCACAGTATAATTTTATTCTAGGTTAGTATTCTAATTTTGTAAAAAAAAAAAAATAATAATAATAATAATAAAAATTAGGAAATTGAATTAATAAATTTATATTTTAGTTGTTGGAGAAAAAGAAAAATCAGCAAATACAGTAAATGTTCGCACAAGAGATAATAATGTTCATGGAGAATTCAGTATTGAAGAAACAATTCAAAGATTTCATAAACTTAAGATTTCTAAAACTAATAATAGTGAAATTGAATTTTAATTTTAATTAATACAATAAATTTTCTTTTTTAAAAACAGTATTTTTTATTTTGTCTATTAATTTTACACATAGTCGTTCATATTTGTAAATGTATTACATTAATGATTTGCTTTTAACTAGGATAAGTTGAATTTTCCTATTTATTATATCATAATTAAAAATAAAAATTGATTATTACCTCCAATAACTTAAAGTGTATATAATATTTCTTTAAAGTTTACTATAGTTAAGTTACTAGATTTGGAGTGCTCATTATAATAAGAACAACGATTTAAACTTGGCTAGATTTGCATTTTATAATGTACAGATCAGCAATATTCAGCAATAGTATAAGGTTATGTTACATATAGTGATTTTCAAGACGATGGCAAATTTATACATTGAAAAATTCATGTTTATAATTAATTTAATTTATATTTTAACCTATTTTAAGTTTCAAATAAAATAGGCAATTTGATATAATTACACTTTATAGTTAAATTTACTATGAGGCTTAAAAGTAATTTAAGTTACTCTTGAAATTTATTGATTTGCTTCATAAAGAAAGTTATTAATCTTGTACATTGTGGAAGTATAACCACAATAGTCAAATATAAAAAAATTAAAAAAAAGGAGTGAAATATTTTTCATTTTTTACTTATTGATTTGATAAGCTTTTTTATAAATACAACCGAACTATATTATAGGATATTTAATAAATAAATATATTATTTATCAATGTAAGTAGTATGCTATATTATGTTTTATTTATTTGTAATATTTTGTATTAAAAAATAAATAAATAAGTTATTACTATGGAATAGACTTAAATGCTAAATAGAAAATAAGAAAAATGTCAAAAAAAAATACGGCTTAATGCCCCAAAAAAATGCTCTAAAAAAATTTAAAAATATTTAAAAATCCAATTTTGAACAGATTTGTATATGTGTAATATATTAATATTGTTATTATAACTTAAAACTTATAAAAAAACACATCTTATTAAAAATGTAATATTAATTATTACTTAGTATTTGTTATTTGCAGTTATTGCATATCGTTATGTTATAGAGGTTATTTAAGATTAAGGTCATTTCATACTAGCGATACGAATGGGTATTTTCAAATATTGAGAATTACGTATATTTAAGTATAATTAGCCGGTCTTCATAAAAATAATTAATTTACGAAACAAAACGAAAAATGTTAAGCAATTTACATTTAATGTATATTTTTTTATAACTTTTTAGAATTTCAAGCAACAAATATATATAAAAATCACTTAAAAACATAACAATTTCAAAAAATGCTCTAAAAAGCAAAAGTCTAAAAAATTTAAAAAAATGCAATATAAAAGTTACATTTTTTATTCCTTGATGTTTGAAATGAACTTTGTGCTAGGAAAGCAATGTTTTCGGACATTCAAAAAAATATTCAATTTGCATTAAAATCCGTTCCCTAGTCATTACACTTTAACGAAAACAGAAAAAAATTATATTATTAGATTAGTAAAATATTATGATAGTTTAATTAATTAAAAATAATGGTGAAGGCTTATACAGGGCTTCGCCGAGATGGAGGTTACAAATAGATAAATAAATAAAAGGCAGTAAATAGAAATATAAGAGTAGAGGAGATAACAACGGTTTGTCGAAGACCGTTCAAGTACAGTTTTTAAAATTTATTTGTATCTATGTGTATGAAACCGAATATGTATTTAAAATAATACTAATCTAGGTCTGGTAAAGTGACAAAAACTAGATGCACGAAAATTACATCTTGTGATGTCGAACGGAATTCCAGTTAATATTAGTTATTAAATATTAGGGTCTAACAGAAAATCGTTAATTTTGAACATTTGAATAGTATTAATATTCTAAAACAACATTTTAATAATTTTAAAACTTGTTAAAAGTGTTTTTATTTTTAAGAATTTAATGATATTCATGGTATAGTATATTATATTATTATATTATAGTATAATATAATATAATAGTATAATAATAATAATAATAATATTTTTTGGCTATTATAATATACTCGTACCTATCATATTTTATCATTATTTATAGTAAATAAATCCTTTCATTGATAATGATCAAGTCGTAAACAAGAAAAGTCTGGTACTCAACCGGGTGATTTTTTAATTTTCATTAAAACATTTGGAAATAATACTTAATTTTGACCAGCTAGTGCTTACATTTGTTTTGGTAAAAATCTTATATTTTATACCTCGAAAATGGTTTTAAATTGGATTAGAAATTGAAGACAGGCATTTGGAGTTCGACCTCAGTACGTTTTACTAGTCCTATCAATTGTTTCCGCTTTCTGATGGTTTGTGTTTAGTTAACGATAATCAATTTCAAATAAATCAGTGAAAATTGAACTTGTTAATGAATTTATTCACCATCCCTGAAAAATATTGCAGATGTGATGTACCCAACAGTCTTATTAGATACACCCTTGGAGCTATTAAATGACGTTTCAATGATTCTATCAGAATTCAGTGTTATGCACTTGGTTACACGATCACCAAAGTAAATAATAATAATAATAATAACAATAATGTTAATCGTGTTCAAATTGTTCGTAGTAAGTTCAGTTTTGCGTGCAATATTGTAACTATATAATTATTTCCTGATAATTTTACCAAAGCGCGATGTACACGAAGACACAGAGTAGTAGACAATATTTAATATCATGACGCATGCACTCAATATGTCATAATAAATACGCGCGCGCGTGTATAGACGTATAAAGAGTATGAGTTGTTGAATCCAATTATTGTTTTATTCGAACGTGACGGTTTCAGAATATTACTGAGTTATCATTAGCAATATGTATTTATGTAAAATTATATGTGCACATGTACGTTTCAGTATTTAAAATGAACAAGTTCAATTTTTTTTTTTTTTAGCACGTTAACGTCGATTTTGGTTAGTCGACGTCCAAGAAATTCATTACAAAACGATTATTGTTATCGACGACTAGAAATCGAACGTTCTGAGAATTTAATCGCATTTCTTCTAGAATGAATCAAAATAAATTAATATTTTTATCGGCCCAAATATATAGCCAGTGGTTATCCTTCCTATCCAACCACGAGTCCGTCTTTATTCAATGGCCAATATTTATATTACCTATAATTCAATTTTTCATACGACATTAAGTATTTACTATACAGATATAACATTAGTTTATTATTCCTAAGTCAAATTATTATTTATTTATTTATTTATTTTTTTTTATAGGATAATAATGCACAATTGCATACTTTTCAAATTGCTCTTACTACATGTTTTTGGGCAACTAATGATTAATTTGACCGAATGATACGGCGATACCCGTGCAATTTGCATACTTGAATAACTTTGTATATCCGTATGTGAGACTAGTTCTATAGATATTCTAATAGGCTCCGGCCCATTTGTACCTCGAAAAGGGTGAACTTCAAGTGGTCGTTATGTAATATATTTAAAAATTTAATTAATTTCCTTAGAATGTTATTGATGTATTACTAATATTTAAATATTCAATTTTTATATGGGTATACTGAATACATTTTTCTATTATTATTATTGTTTTATTATTAATATTATTTTATTAATAATCTATAAACGCGTGTATACTTAACGATAACTGGATAATGGGTAATTATAAAAGAAAAAAAATACTTACATTTTGCTATATAATACTACACAACAAAAAAAATTATCAAAAAAAAAAAAAATAATAATAAAAAGAGATAGAGGAAGACTTAATTTAGTACAAAATTATTTACGGAATATTTTATATACATTTATGTGGTTGGTGGGGAGAGAATGTGAAATCAAATTGAACACATTTTACTATTATTTCCAATGGAGCACGTTGATTATTTTATGTGGTAATAAAAATGAAAAAAGAACGATTCTTAGAATGTGTCGATTAACAAGACGAATATTATTCGATTATAAAAATTAATTCGAAACCGTATTTTGCCATTCGAATCGTTCGATAATTTATTTTCCATCAAGCGTTCTAAACACTGACATGTCATCATATATTTTCATGATATTATATTAGCAGTGGTACGAGCACTACCACCTATGACACATATTGTACGGTTGTGTACAATAATATGACGTCGGTGTAAAAATAGCGAATCGAAAAAAAATCGGATCAAAGAGCACACAATAGGGTCAGGACAACCACTATGTTATAAATAAGAAACTTGAATCGAAAATAGTTGACGATGCCCTTGATGCACTGCGTGTGTGTACCGTCGTGATGTTACACGGCAGGCATAGTGCATAAGGATAGGTATCCAGCTATTATTTTTATTATGTGAAACGCAAGCCAGTATAATATTAATAATAATAATAATAATAATAGACGGCACGAAATAGTAATAATAATAATAATAATAATAATAATAATAATAATAATAATAATGTGTAATTCAATATTTCTATCCTTACGTGCACGGACGCGACCAACGAAAAACATGTCACGTTTATATTAACGCGCACTACACAATTATACGAGTATGTACATGTATTTTCCGGTTATAATAATCTTACAGCACATTTGTACGTACTCCCGCCATCGAATTGCCGTCGCTGAACAACTGGCTTCTTCTTTTCAAGTATTCGTGAACTTTTAATATCAGCACGATATTCATTTAAACACTTTAATATGGCACATTGCACCTAAAATTATATTGTACTTGGACGGATTGCAGCGTAATAATTTCTCTCAATAAAAAATAAAAAATAAAAATAATACAATATTATTCTGTATGTATTGTTTAATGTACCTACTTATAACGCTATGCGTTACCCCAGTATGTACAACATTCTGATATTATATAGAAATATTATGTTATGAGAGTATCTTTATTATATATACATATTTTACACTCACATAAAGCCCGAGTTTAAAATATAAAAATTAACAAATTACAAAGTAATGATTTTTCGGGCGTTTTAAAATTATCATATTGATTTATTATGCTTCAGTATTATGCATATCAACGTTGTTCAACAATGGACGGTATGGACAAGGCTGATCTTAGGTTTT